TTTTTATGAGACTGATCAATCAATTATAGGCTATCGTTTCCCTTCTTTAAGGGTGGTGCCCCGAGGATCTTATCTTAATATTTATGAAAGTAATTTTCTATTATCTTTTGATAATTAATAAACCTTGATAGCCAAAATGAATCGATTGCACCAATATGGTTAAACTACTGTTGTACCAACAAATGGTACCACTGTGATTTATCATGAGACCCTACATAACTATAATATTCAGGCATTTATCTATTTGTCCTTGTACAAATGTAAATACTGTAATACATACCTGTGTCTGCCAGCGGTGTTCGTCTTGTTGGAGGTGGTGTTGTTGTTGTTGTTGAAGTTGTTGGTGGTGGTGGTGTTGTTGTTGTTGTTGTTGTCGGCCTATGCTCTTTTGTGAAGGATAGAGGAAAAAATAGAGGTGAAGTCATGATGTCACTTCCTGTGTAGCCTCTGTTGGACTATAGATTCTGTAACTCAGTACAATCTCTCATTCAGCAGTTCTTCCATCAGTCTTTCTGAAAGATGTTCCTGGGTTTCATTTGCACAGACAAATCACCTCCACTACAACACTTCTAATTAGAGATGGAAGACACTGTAAGTTTAACAGAGTTACATTCTGCTGTAATCTCTGCTGTCTTTTTACAGCACATGGGAATATTAATGTTGAATGTTGAATTAACAACAAAATGAGATTATTATTATTATATAACAACTGCCATTATCTAAACACATGAAGCAAGACACACAACATACTGTTGAGAAAGGCTCTGTTCTACAGCTGTATTTCTATTTATTACCATTGTTACAAATGTGGGATTTTGAAAGAGGTTTTCTAACTTCTGGAACCCAAAAGAATGCACATCACAACAACTACTGCAATCTGTCACAAAGTTATTAACAATGACTGAAAAAGGAAAAAGGAATCTGTTTATGCCAGAAAAAGAAGTCATGAGCTGAATCTAATCATAATGGAGGAATAATGTAACACCAGATAAGCTAGTCCTGCTAATAACTCACTAGCCTAGCTTAGCAGAGTAGCAGCAACAGTTGCAAGGAAGTGTAGCTCTTCAGTCACAGTCGACAGGCAGCAAAGAAAATGTTCAGGCATTTATCTATTCGCTTGGTACAAAATACAATACTGTAAAGAGCTGACAGAGAGACACACTTTCTATAAACATGAAGCATCTTAACATAGCTGAGAGACACATGAACAACAAACATCATGAAGGCAAAATGAACAAAGGAAGCTGAAAACATCATTACTGGTCACATGAGGATGAAAGAACTACAAGTTCAAATGTTGAATTCCCACAACGACCAACAACAAGAAAACTTCAACATCGATGGGTGAATGTGAATGATGTTATTGGCTGAAATTAGTCAGTTCATGCTTACATAAGAACATGTCACAATTTGTTTTACAAGAAGAAAGGATTATTGGATTTCAATATAAATATAGAAAGAAATTGAGTGTTTGAAAATATTTTGCCATACATTGTTAGAGGTACAATACAACTGAGGATGTGATCTTAAAGGGTTAAAATGATATTTTCCATTCCACCTTAAGCATGAATGAATGCAGCACATAGTTTGTGCTCAACTTCCCATGTTGAAATGCAACCTTTAATATAATTTGAAGACAGCATTAAACTTGTACTCAAGGTGCGGATGGATTTCTGAACAGGCCTATCAGGAAGGATCCCCAATGACCAGAACCTCTGTTTGAAGTAACTGTTACAGTAATTCTTGTTGGAAAGTCAATTAGATGACTTAGACTCCAAACACCTCCTTCAGTTTGGATGTCTGGCTACTGTGTTAGACTTTTTACTCTTCGGCAGCCGGGAGCATGTTGTTTCCGTCCATTACTCTTGGTTGCATTTTAGGTTTTCAGACATATTAGCCTTTCTTTAGCATGTTTATGCAGTTACACTATATCACGTTTTATAGCATAGTTTGATGGAACTGCTTTAATCTGATTTTTGCATCCCAAGTGTTTTCTGTTTTTTGGTTTGTCTTTGAACCAGTTTAACATTTATATCTGTTTTCATCAGCAATTCAACAGCAAACCAAACAGGACTCATATTTTATAATGTACCATCATAAACTTATCATATGGTCTCT